AAATTGACATGAACATGATGTTATTTGGTCGTTGGTGGTGGGTAATAGTGCATTAGGCTGAAATGTTCATCTCTGCTAGCTATTATTAATCAAACTACACCATGAATATGATGTTAAAGGGGGAAACAACATTTATAGTTATTCGTTGTTAATGGGAATACAAATTATTGTAGTTATGTCTGGGTTGAAGATAAGCATGGCGGTTTGGATAGAAAACTCCTTCTGTGAACATAAATTATGTTGAAAACTTTTGATGGCAACTGCTTTAACTATGCTTGGAAATCCGAGACATGCTAGTCTAAAAGAACTGGAGTGGAACATGGTGATGGATGGTAATAGGTGGACTTCTATCAATCTGATATCCCTAAATGGGCCTGTGTTGTATAATTATCATAATCGGCAATCCAAATGATGGAGAACCTGTGAAGTGTACTTTCGTCTCAAAATATCACGGTGGATTAGTATGTGTTCAGTATATTCACGGTAATTGTTTAAATTTACCTAATTTTTTTCTCGACCTGCTTTTTACACAGTGCTGTAGTTAGTTTCGGCTATGAAATTTTGAAACTATCACAGTCAATTAAGTTTTTCTATGTTTATTACATTTCGTGAAGACTGGGACATTAATTGACTAGGTCAGAGTCATATCTGACCCTAGTAACTCTTTTAAAATCTCAATCGTTTTAAATAACAACTCTGAACAGAATTAAATATTCAACAAATCTCTCAAATGTCAGCTAGTAATTCACCCTTAACTTGGGTTTCATAGACTTTAATTCAAACTATATTCTTTTTTTGTGTGTGAAGTTATTTCCGATTACGAATTAAAATAATTTTATTCTATTGGACAATCATTATTATCTGTTACGGTTTAGAAAGCGCCATTTTTGTGTCTTCCCGCCTGAATTAATTTTCCGGTGTGTGTATTGAAAACGTCTTTACAATGTCGATAAACAAAGGAAGACGAAATTTGCAGTATAAAATGATATAATTCTATTTCACAGGTTCTCATCAGCTGCAGACTACCTGAAATTACAATGGTTATATAGATAATAACATACTTTAATGTTCGAGTGGTGGTAGAAGAGAGATACTATAAAATTGACGCATCTAAATGAAAGCATTACAATGTTTTTAGTTTAAGTTTTCATCATCAATTTATACGCTTTTAAAGTTGAAAAGAGGGGAGGGGTAAGAGAGAAAACAGAAAAAATTGATTAACAGAATAGTGTTAGCTTTTAGGTTCACATAGCAACTCAAGAAACAAAAACCGTTACAGTTTATGAGATTAAGATTTGTTCAGTGAGTTGAGATCACTGAATTAGATGACTAATCAAAATCAAAATTCTGTTACCAAGGGAGTGAGAGGTTAATCACACTCTCTTTCTGTATGCATAAGTCTGGTTTAAATCTTTTGATTGCGATTACTTCGGCAAATCGTTTTTTCATGATCGGAGTTACAGTCAAAGTATGCTCAGGACAGATCACAGAAAGACACTGAAGTATTTCGCGATCCATCCTAGTGCTTACACTGTAACTTACGAGCACGTGACTGTCATGTTATGTCTATGCGAGAGATGCTTTCCCTATCCTAGGACTTAATACTGTAATATCGTTTACTATTATTAGACACCTTGGATATTTGGAGCGTGAACCATTCAGCCTTGTCGTCATAATCAAGTACGTATGTACTGAATCCATTGCACAAACAACATACATCTAAGGGGTAGTAGAATTTTATCTGTTGGCTGGTGAAACCTACTAATCGGTGACAAAGCAGGAAGTTGAAAGTAATCCTATTTCCGCATAACTACAGTTTTGAATCACAACTAAACAAGTACTGTTATTAACTTACAAACATGTTTCATGTACACTGAACAGTAACGACATAATTATGTTAAACGGCATGATTTTGATATAACTACAACATATATCAGTGCTAGAGCTTCAAGGGTTTTTGATTACTTGTTCGGCCAGTGTTTTGAGTTATCTCCATCTTGAATCTAAATGACACGTTAAGATAACCAAAAATGCGGTTGGCAACTTTTTATCTTCTAACTTAAAACTCACAATCAACCCATATAATACACATTTCCAATGTCGGGATTCGCTAACTGTGAATGTCTAATGATGATACGACTCTTCTATCCTTAAAAATCATCATCAATCAACGAAGTCGTGAAGCTACAAAGACTGAGATGGTTAGGACATGTGTTACGTATGCCAAGCCATCGCCTCCCTCGACGAGCTATGTTAGCGGATATAGGGTCAGGCTGGAAAAAAGCTAGCGGCGGTCAAACAAAAACTTGGCCGAACCAGTCGATGAAATCCACAACAGTTGGTCTAAGCCACGTAGGAAGGTGTAGACTTCCAGGCTGGGGTCCTCGGGACGGTAAAAATCTATGGTTGGAAACAATTGGTGACATGGCTCAAAACCGTTCTCAGTGGCGCAGATTCATCCACTCCCTGTGACTTATGATCTTCAATGAAACTGTTTTGTATTTCTTTATTACCCCTTTGTCTCACACCTCTGCTCACTGTTTCTATTATGCTTTTCTTGTACTTTCTTCTCTTGCTTCGCGTGCTACACGGAATGTGGCGACTTGAACTTCCGCACATTTGTGCAAAGTTCTATGTCGAAAACAGACAGACAGACAAAGATCAGCAAATTGATTGATCATGGTAGCATAAGTTTTTTTTGTATTTTTAAATTAAATTTTCAATTTGCACAGTTCGAGATAACATTTCATCAGAGTTTTCTTCGGAAATCAAAATTATTCAGATTACAATATATGATCTGCTTGGTAATCAAGAGAGTAAGCATAAATGTGTGGTGCTATGTACTACTGATTAGTTAAGACGAGTAGTTGAAAGCCTTTGTCACCACATTATTGACTTGATTGACATGTAGTCTTTATTTCTAACATGCCCAAGTGATTAGGAAAATTATAATATACTTTGTAAAGTATGTCGATAAAACCATGAGGTTCAGTTTTATTTGAAGGGAATCCAGAAGAACATTTTTTTCTTTCACGTTTCCAGTGGAACATAGCACTTCAAGCACTAGAGGCTTGAAGTTTCTGTAGCAGTGTTTATTTTTACAGTATGGGGTTGCTAGTCTCATGCCCAACCTTCCCTCTTTATCAGCATTTTTTCTGGCTTAGCGAGGTTTGGGAGTGCGTCGGCCGGGGATCGAACTTCGGACCATATGCATGGTCCTAACCGCTACGCCACCGACGCACTTAACACACAAAGAAGAACATTAACTTTTGTTAATGAAACACCAGATATTCATCTCTTAGCCGTCTTTGACCACATATGTTTGTGTTCTATCTCCTGTGTTAAGTGGTATAATGCTGTGAGTAATATTATTGAAGTCAGACCTAGTGTTAGGGTAAGAGGACAAATCAATCGATGAAGTTTTGAAGCCACATCGATTGAAATGGCTATACATGCCGAGCCACTGCGCCTCCCTCATCGAACAATGTTGAGCTGACATATGATTAGTTAAGAAAAGTGTTAGATATGATCAAGTCGAAACTTGGCATCAATCTGTGAAGTCCATGATTGTTGGTTTAACCTATGTGGAGAGATGTAGACTACTTGGTGGTTAGAGTAGCCGATACGCTGTAAAAAACGAATAGCTGGAGACTATTAGTGACATGGCTCAAAATTGTTCTCAATAGTGCAGATACACTTACTCTTTGTAAATACCCAAGCTTATTAAATCCTCATATTTTCTTTCCCGTGTGATTATTCTATCCTCCTGTACATTTATATTCATTATGGTTCTTTTAAATTTCTTCTTTTTCTCAAACACTGTGTGTTATATGGAATTTGACAACTTGGAATGCTGAAATTTGTGCAAAACTCTACGAAATTTGGGCTACCGATATCCATGCTGAAAATTCCATACTTGTACCAAAAATACAGTGTGGAATCAAGCTGTAAATCAAAAACAAAAAAAAACAAAACGTTGAAACTCAGCTAGTCATGTCTGCCAACTGACTAAAAAGAAGAGTAGAAAACTATTCATACTAATCAGAGCCATTCTGTAATCAGATCTAGGTTATCTATACACGGTTATTTAGCTGGTTTGAAGTCGAGTTAAACAGATGTGCATTCTTTTTGAATCATTCACCTGAGTTGAGTCAGTCTGTGTACTCAGCTGATGAACCTATTCTCAAGTAAACACAAAGGCCACATGGTATATAGATTATCTAAATCTTTCCAGAGATCTATGAGTGATTTTCAACCACTTTTTTCATTGAATGCTATTCATTGAGTTGTATAGATAAAAATTTGTGGTCTTAATATATTGCTTTTCGAAGGAAACCTGGATGTTGGAGAATTTCGTATAACATCGCCTAAAGTGAATTCGTATAACTCAGTTATTTGAGAGTACCCCATTAATGAGATATATAAATTGTCAAGTATTGGTTTTGTAGGGATTTTGTTTTATTGGATGGAAGATTTCATCATGAGCTGACATCAGTTAGAGAACTATTGGGAAACCAACTGGGAGTACTGGACAGCTGTTTCCTCAGTCCTGGTTTTGGACTCTTCAACAGTCCGCATCGACTGGGGCTCAAACCCAGGAGCTTCTGGTTACAAAGCAAGCTCGTAGACCATTCAGCAGCCACTGGGACCCGATCCAATGGCCACTGCATGAATTCTAACTTCTGCGAAATCATGACATAGCGCGACCACTTCGCGATTTCTTCTTCGATGAGTTACTGTCTCACCTTCAACTTTCTGTACCCTACTGGTCACGGCTTCCCGCTAGAACTTCAGGTAACTGTCTGAATAGAGCCAGTTACTAGTGAGCTGTCCAGTATTCCAGTCGGTTTTCCAATGGTTCTATAACTGATGTCAGCTCATGATGAAGTCCTTCACCCATATATTAATTGTCTTAGGAATTATGCTTTATTTCTGCATTACACAATGTCTTTTCTTTTTTCGTTTCTCCACATTTACTGACAATCACACGTTAATTTTAGCCTCAAATCCTGATTTACCAGATGATTATACAGCACCTAATGCTACTGGTTCCCCTTCACCTGCACCATTACCTATCAGTCAAAGTTTAACAAGTGCATCAAGTAGTCATCGTATTATAACATCTGGTGTAAATGTTAACATTCCTGGAGGTCATCCTCATCACCATCATCATCCTGGAAAATCTTCATTTCTACCAAACTCACGTTTAAATAAGCCTACATTGATGGAAGGTAGAAAACAGTTACATCATACGGAAGTTTTAGTACCAATGAGTAAATCATCTCCTGATTATGATAATGCTTCTCGTTCATCATCATCGTCAACAACAACAACACATTCTTCGAATGAGTCATCGTTTCATCCAAGTGGTAAGCAATTGCCTGGAAAACATAATGTACCCACTGGTATTGGAAGTGGTGATCAAGTTTGGAAAGCTCCCAGTTCTGAACGTGTTGTCCGGTGTGTTGAAACAATCATTATGCGTATTCGTAATCTGGTAGAGGTAAGAATATTTGAATTTGTATAAAAATAGTGTTTGAACTTATGTATCAGGCTACCAGTCACACTTATCATATGATGGCAGATTATACTGTGGCTTGAATAAGCTATAATAATGTACATGGAATATATATAAATACGTGCTGATTTCCGTAATAAAACGATCTGTTGCCTGGCCCTTGTCTTCTGTTGTTACAACACTACTCAGTTGCCCGAACTGAAATAGGTGGAGTGGAACTCGAACTCACGACCCATCAGCTAGAAACCCCAGTACTTAAGCCAATCGGACACATGTCCACGCATAAATAGTGTATTTTCCGGTTTGTTTACAAATGTGTACATGTTCAATATTTAATGTTTTCCCATACAATCGCTAACCACGTTACTACGAATATAATTTCACTAATGACATATGAACTGGGCAAATTAAATAAATATCTGTCCTGTTTGTTTATTGGTTTAATGTTGATGTATTTGGCTACGGTGGTAGGCGATGCCGTTTAAAATCTCTTGGGGAAATTGGTCAGCGTTGAGAGATTGTAAATACGCCTTGCTGGTTGCAGGCATGGGATTTAGATTCACAGCATCCTGGTGATTACCTTCAACCACCTAACGTAAATCTAAAGTATACCGTGATTTCTGGTCTCCTAGGTCGGTAATGAAATTACAAACTCGTCGATAAGGGGTAGGTAATATGATGCTGATTACTCTGCAATGATAAGTCAGTTCATTAAAGTTGTCTATGTATGTATACTTTCAATAAGGTTAGAAAAAAATACTGTAACCTATACTCTATATAATCGTACCTAAGTCCTCATGAAAACGACGATTTACTAATATTTTTTAATGCCTTATTAGGTGTAAAAGCCTAAAACTCTTTATTGCCGCCTATAATAACATTTTGTGCACCAAACATTAATCACTGCAGTCTTAAATTATCAAAAAGACCGCCCACGAAGAATCTTACTGACTAATTGCTCAGATTTAATATTTTATAGGCAATCAAAATGTTTGTATTTATTGATTTATTTCTCCATATATATCACTTTTCTTTCCCTGAATCAGTTTGCCAATGGTGATCGTCGTGGTAATACTGCACATTGTTCACGTTTAATTCAATCAGCTATTCAAGATTTATTGAATTTATTCCCTCCACATGAACTTCGACCTGTTGAAGTAGAAACTGCTTTGAATGATTTAGCCTCAGAATCACAAAATTTACGAAAACACTGTGAACAGCTCTCTTCTGCATCTGATGGTCCTGATAGATTTGAGATAATGACTTCAACGCAAACATCCAAGACTACTACTGTTCATAATAGTAATACTGGCAACAATAATAATTCTCGACCAGTTCCAACAGAAATCACAGTGCTAATCCGTCATGCTCATCATATTGCCAGAGCTGCCAAAGATTTACTATCTCTTTTTCAACGAATTGATCAATAAAAACAAAGTGTTGTGAATTTTCATCCCCACTGGCTGTTTCTTCTCTGCTGTTGTTGTTGTCTTATATGTGCATTAGTTTAACTTTTTTGTTTTATTCAATCAAAACTAAGTGAATCAGAATCAGGCGGACATTTTAAAAAGTAAAAGCTCTCCACAGCAATTTGCAGCCATATTACGTCTAGTCAAAGTGTGTGTACACAAAACATATATATATATATGAAATATTGTAATACAGTTTAACTTTTATCTTCCTTTCATCTTTTTTTTAAGCAAAAATAAGCTTTCACTTTTATTTGTTTGTTTGTTTGTTTGTTTATATGTGTACGATTTTGTTGACTTCACTATAATTAATTTGTTTTCTCTTTTTTCTTTAATTTATTTTATGATTATTATTAAAAAAGAGAAATCTTTATTTATTTTATGAGCCACTGTGTTTTTATTTTAACTTGATTTTAATTTGTCTCCTTTTTTTCTGGTGTATTTTTCTCGTGTATATTTATTATTAAGGCCCATGCTGCTTTAATTGTTAAATAATCGGCGGGGGACTGGAGGGGGTATTTGGAAGACTACATTGTTTAACTTCAAATTTTAGGAAAAAGTTACACACCTTCTTTGGCTTCCTATGAAATATAATTATTTTTATTAATGTGATTAGATTTTTCTTTAAATAAGAATAAATCATGGTTCATCAGTTCGCCTGTCATTTGTTACTTCATTCCTCGCTTACCAAGTGGAATATAGGACTACGCTGTGGGGTTTGTCGTTGCTAGCTTTACTCCGAACTTTCCCTTTCTTCTAGACTTACCATTGGCTAATAAACTAGGCGAGGTTTAGGAGTCCGCTGGCCAGAACAAGTGACATGGCTGGCGGCGAGTAGTCTACCATCAAGCCACCAGCAATTTTGCTCCATTTTATGTAGGAGTGTTATTAAATTAAAATGAGACAACTTAGAGGAGATGAACTACAGCGATAGGTTGAATTCATTATCCATTGATATTTAAATTTTCGAGTGTATTCATGCATATATATATATATATATATATATATATAAACGAGAATCGGATTACAATTTGTATATTGTATTGACGCAGGTAGCTGAAGTGAGTGTTTTGTGCTCAGTGAACTTAATACAGTACGTGGTAATATTTGCAATAAATGTGAATAACCCTCATATTGTTTATGTAAATCAAAATTCAGGAACATCTACATCATCAGTCTTATCTCAATTAGGCAATCGATGGAGACAATAAATACTTAAATCAGCAGATTCACATCACTTATAGCAATAATGGTTGAAATATGTATTCCTCCACCTGCATGTAGTATATCTCCTTTCATATATCACATATTAGTTGTAAAATATAACTAGTTTTATATTAAGTATTAATGTTAGAGGATTGGAGGTAGTTAGCAGGAAGTTTTGCGCTTATTGGCACTCGTTAGCAAAGCGTATCTGCAACGTCGAAGGGACTACCTGATACCCCATTGGAGACTGAAGTCCGCGTCACCAAGTAGCCCTAGTCAGAGTAATCACTGGTGGGTTTTCCTGACTCAAGTCCGATCTCCTGTAAGTCTGTGGTATTTATATTGATTGGAGTCTAGGAGGTCACCAATAAATGTATGTTATGTGTTAAGAAGTACATGAGGGATTCAAAAAACCACATTTACATTCCAAAATTATGTAGAAATTATAATGATTTTGTCAATATAATGACTAATGTATGTTTCAGTAGGTGAACCCTTTTAACACCATTATATGAGTGGTAACAAACTACAACTTAATCCTTTTTTAATTTTACTTATTGTTTCGACAAAACAATAAGAAGACGTAGTTTATCTGAAACGTATAATGTATTGGCGCAACACATTTCGGACATTCTGATCACACACGTACTTGTCATACACAGTTTTTATATAAGGCAAGAAAGCATGAATAATTACAATACAGGTCAGATTGTGTACAGGTCAAGGTCACAAAATAATGGGTAGGGAGACGCAAAAGGTGTGGGTAAGAAAGATAAAGGGAGGAAAAAAAGGCAAAGAAAGGGTTTGAAAATATTATGAAGTAAAATTGGTCCTTGGTTCTAAGTTGGATTACCAAGGCAGGTTTAAGGTGATAACAAATAACTTTTGGACGCATAAGACAGGTTTAAGTCTTTTAATGGCTAAGGCTTCAATGAATTTAAGTATGTGACCCAACCTTGTCTTATATATCGGCTTAAAGGCATTATTAAAATCAACCTTATGACCCGTCTCTATAATATGCTTCGCTATAGATGATGTTGGACATCTATTTCCCGGGTCAATTGTATCTGGCGATTTCATTTGTTGTTGCAGCCACTTTGGAATGTGTTCTGTAGCCCTAACATGCAGAGACCGATGGGTCCTCCCTATGTACGTGTCTCCACACATACATGTGAATTGATAAACACAGTGGGATGTGACACTATCGTTCGGATAATGTGAGGGTTTACAGGACAGCATAGTTTTCGTTTTCTCTATGAAGATAAGTTTAGCTGCATAATAGGTTCTACTAATTGCGGCCTTTAGTCTTTGTCTAGTGACTAGACTTTGTTGATCACCTCTGAACGGCAAGGATATGTAAACATCCTTTTTGGGAACTGATTGGATTGGTAAAGCTGTGTGGTTGACACTTCCATAACGTCTAATAAATCTCAGTGGGTAATTGTTATCTAACAATATTTCAGTGAGATGTTGTCTTTCTTCTTCAATTGTATCGGCGGTACATATACGGTGAACGCGCTTGAACAAACACTTAACCAACGCCTTTTTATACTGTAGTGGACAGAAACTATAGTAATTTAGATACTGTCCAGTCCATGTTGACTTCCTGTAGACAGATCGTTTTATTGACCCATCTTCTCTGCGGGTTATGAGTACATCTAAAAATGGCAGGCATCCATTATTCTCTTTAACATAAGTTAGCGATATACTATTTTGTGCTCTGTTGACCTGGTTTAGGATTTCTATGGCGTCGATCGGTTGATCACAAATGACAATTATGTCATCTACATATCTTTTATAGAAATACACTTTTCCAATTTCTTTCTCCACTAGGTTCTCAACATGCGACATATATATGTCAGCTAACAATGGACCTAGGGGGCTTCCCATAGCAACACCATCGATCTGGCGATAATGCTCGCCCTCGAATGTAAACTTAACATTTTTAGTACAGAGAAGCAGTAACTCTTTTAAGTAAGATGTAGATACTGGTAATAAGAAATCGTTGTCAGAAATGAAGTCACATAAAATGTCAACCGTCTGTAAAAGAGGTACATTTGTAAATAAAGATTCGACATCTAGGGAGAACATGGTTTTGTCTTTTATATTAACGTTATCAAGACAATCAATTAACTCAAAAGTGTCTTTCAAAGAGAACTTACAGAAACTTCTTCTAACAGGCTCTAGTATTTCCACTAGCCACTGTGCAAGTTTGTGGGTTGGAGATCTGCACATATGGGACGTAGAGGAATGTTAGGTTTATGTGTTTTGGGTAGACCATACATGTGTGGTAATTGAGACTGTGTGGGCTTTAATGAATTGAATTTCTCTCTGTTAATTGTTGTTTCGATGACTGCTTTATGCTAAAAAAAACTAATAGTAGCCTCGATCATTGTATGTTACTTTTGAACAGTATTGTATGAGTCGTGCTTGCTTTAAAAAAAGTTGTTACTAAAGAAATTTATAGTAAGTGGAAGCATCCAGATTTCATTTTCACTAGTCTCTTGAAATAAGTTAAGGTAATCTTCTTTGTCATTTATAATTTTGTATATTCTAATGGCTTAGAGAAATACTGTCAGCTAAAATACGTTAGGTTCTGACTGGACATCTGAATGTTTGTACACGAACTATGAGACCTGATGATCCAGTGGAAGATGTGAAATGTGCACTTCTGAATAGTTATAAACGAAGACGAAATAGCTGTTTAGTAATTCTTGGTAATTCAGTTTATTAGTTATTCCCTGGAGATCTGATTGGAACACAACGCTTCGACAGCATATCTCCATTTCATCCTCTTTTCCGTAGTCCTCTTCATCTGGCTCCACGATTGCTCATCAGCTCTCATCTTCTCTTCATAAAATCTTCATGTCATTCGGAGACGCCTCACTCGTCATTTCCCATTCGGTTTCCACTCGAGGGCCTGGCGCGCGATGTTACTCAACGTCCTTCTCAGCGTGTGTCCGTCCGATCTATCTCCATTTTTTGACATATTTGTTGAACTATAGGTTCTTGGTTAGCCATCTGATCTTCAGTATGGAGGGAATGTAACTATCAGTAAAAGTCTGCAACCTGTTAGAAATGTGTTTCATGACACATCGTGTCTCTGAACCATATAGAAGTACTGACTTGGCAATAGTCTTGTTCTTTATGCCTAGTGCAACACATTTCTAGACTGATTTCAGAGCAATGAATGTCTGTCTTGTTCATAAAGATATAAGCTATAGATAGACAAAGGTTAAATACATGTAAATTTTCATTCAGTGCTGTTGTCATGCTAGGTGAACAAATTTGTGAAATTGCCAAAGAGAAAAATAAAACTAATTAATAGAACAGTGGCATACGGATTTTGGCGGAGATAAACTATAGCTGCCAATGAATTACCTCGAGAAAAACAACTTGATAAAGGACCTTAAGAACCTCTGATTTTTCCTTTGATAAACAGTGTATTCGAATGTTTAGAGTGCTTAGTAGGGCGATTCCGTGTTACAGTGACACCTGATTCTAGACCTAGCTCTACACTAAGTCCTACCTAACCATTGGATAGACATTTAACGCCGCTAAGTCAGACCATCAGAAAACTCTTGGAACGAAATATACACTGAATTCACGAATAGTGGCATGATTGTAGGTTTAAGGTCATTCGTTGGCTCCTATAGTTCATCTTCACCCGGATTTCCTTAGCATATTGTAGAATAATCAGTTATACAACGCTAGGACGTTATTTCTATCAATAACAGCTTTATTCTAGACAAAATGTATACACATTGCAGAGAATTCTCAGTACAATTTATGGCGCAGTATTTTCCCTTCGTAGAGGATCTTCAAGCAACGCTGTTCGACCTGAAGCACAAACCAGTACCTAATGATATACTTCCCTCGTCTTCCTTATGAAATTCACAGCCAATTAAAAATTTGCCTGAGTATGTTTTGCAAAACAATGAAATCACTGAATCACTAAAAGAATATGAAACAGAGAAAAGTTGATACATTATGTTGGATGAAAATTCAGATAACCCACTGATTCGTGTAGGTCACCTACTCGATCTTCCAATTTTGAATCACTATGTTATCTAATTGAGAAACAGTTTCCTGAAATTCCACAGCCAGTGGCAGGAAAGTTATTCAGCCATTTTTTAAACGATAAATTCAAATTCCAATAGTAATAGAGGACACTTTAAAGTCACCGAATTCAAATCATTTGCATCACTTGCTGAAGTAATACTGTGACGGTATAAGATGTGAGTCCTTTTTATTTCTGGAAACTGGTATCTCTATATAACCAAATTAATAATAATAATAATAAATAAATAAATAATAATGATAAAAAATAAAAATAGCCAAATTGTGTACACCGTATCTTCAGCGCACCATTTGCACAGGTCTCCGTGTTGTGGTACTTCTAGACTTCTATATCTTGTTTCTTTGTGTTACTTTCACGTCTCGCATATATCTTCACAACTCTGTATTACTTGCTTTCTCTGACATGAAATCCATCTCCCTGCTATTTAGTGTTACCATGTCGATGAACGTCTCTTTATA